TCATAGAGGGAAGAATCTGAAAAATAATTTTTTTTTGAATTGTGATGAAAAAAAATAACTAATTTAGAAGGATAACAAAAAAGGTAATTAAATAAACGTTTAAAATTTCTCCCAAATTTTAATTACACGGGACTTTGAACAAAAATTTTCTTTAGATATCAAAAAAATATTTTTGTTCACCTTGTTTCTGATTATTCTTTTGTTTTTCTCCTCCAAAACCCATATCCCTTCGTTGTCCTCTATTTACATCACTATCATCGTCAACATCCCTTTCTTCTTCATTTTTAACCTTTGGACCACCATTTGTTGATACAGCATTAAGTTGTTCTGTCAATTCCTGCTGTGAATGAACCAATACTTTATGCCTTTGCCCTCCCTGTTCAAGTGACAAAATTGCAGGAAAAACAGGATTGATGTTGGAAGAAAGAGCTGAAGCTTTTGGGGGAGAGATTGTAGTTGTTGTTGTCAAAGTTTCTGATGAAGGAAAAGAAGTTGGAATAATTATTGGCATTAAAAGATGTGCCAAATCTGTCCATTCATCAGCTGGCCTAAACAAAAATTTTTTTTTGAATTTTTTAAAATTTTCTAGTACCTAATTAAAGGAACATTATTTGAAGGGGAAGGGAGGATAATTACGCGTAGTCTGAGACCTTCAGTTCGGCATAAACCGCCACTTGTTTGAGATGTACCGTTAGGAGAACCATTGGAAGTAGCTAAATAAATTATTAATATTTAATTAATTTTTAAAGAAAAAATATTTAATTTTAAACAAAAATTCTTCTTTTTCTTATTTTTTATTTATCCATCTGTCCAATTTTTGTCAATCATCTAAAAACCACCCATCCTTAATATTCTTAAGGTTTTTTTATCTTCAAAACAAAAAAAAAAGAAAAGCATATTCTAAATAAATAGCTTTCAGGGTCAAAAATAAAATTTGGCATTGTGTGTCTAATCAAATTTGTGATGATGAGTGAATGCGCATCGGGAATTTGCCTTTTCCTTTTTTTTCTGGGCTCCTATACAACTCATCTAATCGTTAACTCATCTATTCGTTAACTCATCTACACGGCCAAAAAGGGTTAACTCATCTAATCGTTAACTCATCTATTCGTTAACTCATCTACACGGCCAAAAAGGGTTAACTCATCTAATCCTTTAGAACGAGACTATTGAGTACCAGTCGTTTGAGTCTCTGGCCATCTGAGTCTGGCCGTTTGAGTCTCCGGCCGTTTGAGTCTCTGGTAAGCAGGGTCCATGGCCGTTTGAGTCTCTGGTAAGTAGGGTCCATGGCCAGTTGAGTCCATGACCAGTTGAGTCCATGGCCAGTTGAGTCCATGACCAGTTGAGTCCATGGCCAGTTGAGTCCATGGCCAGTTGAGTCCATGACCAGTTGAGTCCATGACCAGTTGAGTCCATGGCCAGTTGAGTCCATGACCAGTTGAGTCCATGGCCAGTTGAGTCTCTAGCCGGTTAAGTCCCTGGTCAGTTGAGTCCCGGCCGTTTGAGTGGTTGATTACCGCCGGTTGAGTCTTGGGCCGGTTGAGACTCAACTGGTCATGGACTCAACTGGTCATGGACTCAACTGGCCATGGACCCTACTTACCAGAGACTCAAACGGCCATGGACCCTGCTTACCAGAGACTTAAACGGCCGGAGACTCAAACGGCCAGACTCAGATGGCCAGAGACTCAAACGGCCATGGACCCTGCTTACCAGAGACTCAAACGGCCGGAGACTCAAACGGCCAGACTCAGATGGCCAGAGACTCAAACGACTGGTACTCAATAGTCTCGTTCTAAAGGATTAGATGAGTTAACCCTTTTTGGCCGTGTAGATGAGTTAACGAATAGATGAGTTAACGATTAGATGAGTTGACCCTTTTTGGACGTGTAGATGAGTTAAGGAATTTTAGCCGTTTAGATGAGTTGAACGTTTTTGGCCGTGTAGATGAGTTAACGAATAGATGAGTTAACCGGACACGTTTTTCTGAACAGTTTCTTTTAATTATTTATTCATATATTCTCTATTTATTTCCTATTTTGTATCAATTTCTTCCAAAATATTTATTTACCTATATTTGGATATATACTTATATAATTAGTTGTTTACCCGTCAAGTTGAATTCAGTAAAGCAGAAAAACTGAATATATATCCAATAAATTAATTACCCAACCAAGTAAATATTTTATTAATTAAAATTGTTAAAGGGAAATTTAGATAATTTTTTTGGATTTTTGATATTTTAAAAATTAATTTATTAATTTACATGCCCCTCCAAAAAGAATTAGAAGTAAATAACGTTTAGGGAATTTATTTACTTTTAAAAATATTAACAAGTATAAATGCCCAAATATTTTTACCTCCTAAAATTACCTCTGAAATTAAAAAAAGCCAGGTGGGTATGAAATCTAATCGGTTTTTGCCACGCATTTAAATAAAAAGATGAATGGAAAAATAAGGAAAGGATTAGCGGTGTTGAGTAAATCAAACACAAAAAAGGACAGATGGACGGACAAATAATAGGTATTTTGTGTTATGGTAAATATTTAAGAACATTTAGAAAATAATTTTCTAAATCTAAAAATCCCTCTAAAAAGGGTAAAGTTTCTATTTTTATTTTCCCAAAACTTTCTTGCTTTTTTAAAAAATAAAGCGAATAAAAATACAAAAGAAAAGCAATTCTATTTTAATTGATTTTCAAAACGGTTAATTTGTTTTCTCAATTTATTTGAAAAATAAAAACTTTGAAGAAAAGAAGAAAGACGCTTTTCAAAATAAATTTGAAAAAAGAATTTTTTTCGAAAACTTACAAATAAAAAAATAAGCATTTCCTTCACGAAAACTAGGCTTTCCAGGTAAAGGACTATATCTTCTAATAATTAGTCGAGGATCACTTCCCGAATTTGGACCACAAAATCCGATAGGAGCCAATCCGTTTTGTTGTTCTGGTAAATGACAAAGAATTGCTGATTCTGCTGGGACTAAATGAATGGCTAAATGTTTGTCTGTTGGACAATGAAACCGAAGAACATCTTTGAGAAATAAATATTTTGTTAAAACTTTTGGATGTAAAATTGAAGAAGAAGAGTATTTATTTTGTTGTTGTTTTGTTAAATTTGAATTGTTTGAACTGAAAAAATAATCAAAATAATTTATAATCAAAATCATAAAAGAAAATCAAAAATTAGAACTCCTTGTAAATCATAAATAAAGACTCCGGGATTTAGAAACACCGAGTCTGTCTGAGTAGGTATTAGGATGTTAGGATTCTCCTCCAAGTGTTAGGATTCCAAGTAAGGACGAAAAAATCCGAGGGAGGGCAAAAACTGGTACGTAATTTACTACTCGAAACGTACACTAATTTAAATATTAATTAAATTACCCAAAAAATAATTATTAAATAAAAAATTAAATTTTCTTTTTTAATCAATAATTAATTATTTGCCAGCAAAATATATTACACTATTATCCAGAGAAAGTGTTTAATAAATTAATATTTTAATCAAAGCTCTTAAAGAAATTTTTTACAATAAATTGCTTTATATTTATTTTCTTCAATTTTCTGGATTTTATTTATTTTGCTAATTCATCATCCCCAAACTTTGCAATTTTTGTTAAGATTTGAGAGAAAGGTTAGAGGGGCATTGGCAGGAGAAAAGAGCGAGAAGATTGAGTGAATTAAAATGCAAAAATAAAATTAAAAAAAAAGGTTAAAAATTGGAGTCTCAATAAATTAATTATTTAATTAGATTAATTTTCTTTTTTATAAAATTAAATCTTTTCATATTTTAAAAGAGAGAAAGGAGGGAGATAGTTTGAACTCGAAATTTTTAATTTCCTTATTTTAAATTTAAAAAATCTAAATTATTATTTTCAAACTCAAATGTCCATTATCTCCCTCCCTCCCTTCCTCTGAATGAGTGCAAAAATTAACGGCCATAAATCAGGCGTGAAAGGTGGAAAGAAAGAGAAGAAGCTAAAAGGCTCTACTATAGGCCAATAAAAAAGCGATTAGTCAATAGCTTGGCCAAATGTCATATGCAAATTTTGGGGCACATTATGGAGAGAAACGATCATTTTTCCGGTGGAAAAGGTTAAGGATGGAAGGAAGAAAATAAAATATTGAGAGGGAAGAAAGTAGGCAATCATTTCCCCTAAGGAAAATTAAAGATAAATTGTTGATTGATGTGGCCATTAAAAAGAGGGAAAGTGGCACACTTTAGAAATAAAAAAATGGAGATAAATTAGAATTAAATAAATATATTAATCCTTTATTTTATAAAATTGACCTCCCTCCCATGTCCTTTTCACTCTTTTTTCTCTTTTTTTTTTATAAAAGGTTAACATTTTTTGTTTGAAAATGTTTTTGAGTGATTGTCTAGTTTTTATAAAAAAATTGTAAAAAAAGCTTCTTCTCTCTATTGTATTTTTCTGTTATTTTTTGTAAAATAATGAAAAGAAAAGAAGTGATATTTTCTTATGCGCGTATTTGTTATTGTAAAAAATATAATATTTTTGTTATTCTAAAAAAGGTTGAAATTATACAAAAATATATACTTTTTACTAATTTCCCCTCAATTGTGAATAAAAAATAAAAATAATTACCCCGTTGTAGTCCCCAATGTCCAATCAACGTCGATTTCATTGGATTTTGTGTTGCTTCCTTCAACAGCAGAAATAAAAGCGAATAAAGCCAAAAAAGATCCAAAAGTGATTAATATAAGGGAGTTTGAATAGAAATTGGTGGAAATTGAATTACTTCTTTTTATCCTGAAAATAATTAAAATTTTAATTTAATTTAAATTTAAATTATTAGAGTAAATAAATATATTTTTTAAATGAATTCTTAAAAATTAAAAAGACCTAAAAACTCTATACGGAAATTTTTTTTTCAAAAATCAAAGTATAATTAATTAAAAATAAAATTGATTCTTTAATCAAAAACCAAGGAATTTTTTAATTTAAAAAATAATTTAAGCAAAATTAAAATACTTATAAATTTACCTATTAATTATTACTAAATTATTTTCTCTTTTATTATTTAATTTTAAATTATTATTAATTCTTCTTCTTCTATTATTAATTAATTTATTTTGTTGTTTTTCTTCTTCTTTTTCGATTAAATTCTCTTCCTTTCTTCTTCTTTTAATAAAATAATTATTTTCTTCTTTTTCAAAATTTCTATCATTTCTGTTGCCAAAATTCTTTTTATGGCAGCAAAAATTTAATTTTAAATTTATTTTTGACGATCCTGGATCACAAAATGTTTGTTGGTTATTTTCTCTCATTTTTAGGAACAAATAATATAATAATTATTAAATTAATTTAAAAATCTAAATTAAAAAATTAAACAAAAGAATATTTTTTGAAATATTTTTTTTAATTTTAATAATTAAATACTTAAACATTAAATATATTTTAAATTGATAGGAAGAAAATTTTTTTAAAAAAACATTAGGAAAATCGTTCAAGAATTAATGCAATTTATTAAAAAAAGGAAGAAAAAATTTTTAGTCAAGGAAAAAATAATGAAAAATAAATTAAAAAAATATCTCCCCAACATTTATATAAACCATGATAGACAGCAAGCTACCGGAAGTATGGCACGCGCTTAACGCAAAAAAAGTTTTTATTTATTTTTTATTTCTTAAGTGCTTTTAATGGAAGGGAAGGGGAATGAATGTTGGCGCATCATGAATGGAAATGAGTGACAATAATTATTAACTGATTGAGTGGAATGGATTATGGAAAAAAACAGGAATGAAGTGGGGGGAAGTAAAGTGATTAGAAAAAAATTTTTAAGCGAAAGGAATTAAAATAAAGAAAATTTTTTGTTTTAAAAAATATTCTGATAATTAAATATTACAATGATTTTGTATAATAATTTTGGTCCAGAAATTAGAAAAATTAAAAGGAATATATGTATATTATACATACAGTAGATGCTCTATAATAACTACTTTGAGTAATTATTGCTTCAACCTTTCGATAGGGAAGGGAGGGGAGTAATTAATAGAACGAAGGTAGTTATTTGAGAGAGGGTGAGTATTACTGATTTTTTCAGCAGTTTCTGTGTACTTAGGTCCAGAAATTTAAAAAAATAAAATTTAAAAAATTAAAACAAATCATTTTAGAGTTAGAAAAATAATTAAGGTAAGTTTAACAAAATTTAAAATAAAACGAGTCATAAGCCAAATTTTAAGAAAAAAAAACAAATATTTAAGGAAAATCTGGTTTAAAATAAAAACTTTTAAAAATAAAAGAATTTAAACCCTTTCTAAATTTGCAAGAAACTTGATCAGCTTTTTTGATGCAATAAAATCTTGAAAAAAAGGGAAGGATAAAAAAAGATGAAGGAAAAAAATAGAGAGGGAGAGTTCAAGGGCTAAAGAAAAAAGTGAAAGCATGAAGTAAAAATTATGATGAGATATTTATTCGTTTGTCTACATATAAACACGCAGCTGATTTAGCAAGCAAAAAATACATCTGGAAAAGATAAAGTTAATTATTTTTTGATCAATTTTTCTGTTAGCTTTTAATCTTTTTTTCTTTTTGTTAAGCTTTGAAGGTGAATAAAAAAATTTTTTTTTAATAGAAAGGGGGGAAGTAATAAATATTAGAAGACATTGGGGGAAGCTGTGGGGGGAAGGAGAGAGCGAAAAGCGGGATGAATAACAACACAAAAATATTTTTATGCTAACGGTTAAGGGAGGAGTCAAGAAATAAAAATTTGTATATAAATTAGGTAAATTAGGTAAAATAAAAAAATATTAGAAAAGGCAAAAAAATAGGTAATAATCATTTTTTGATAAAAAGCTTAAAAAATTTCTCCAAGCTTTTATTAATCCCAAAAATTTATTACATTTCGAGGGATAATAGAAAATATTTTTTATTTATTTTAATTAATTTACTTAAACATTTTTTAATCAAAAACAGCGACAAACTAAACTATAAATAAACTGGAAATAAAATAAAAAATAAATATAACGTTAGTTTAGGTATTTTATACTAAATAAATATGCGTTCAGTCTTTTTTCATTAAAAAAATAAATGAGAAAATTATGAATAAAAAAATAAAAATATTAATTAAATATTAATTCTGATTCAGCCAGCCAATATTTTTTAAAAAAATTTATCAGCAATTAAAATCCATTTTAAAATAAAAATGGGGGCTTTTCCGTTAACTAAACACTAAATTCTCTGTTTCAGTTAATTCTCATTACTTTTTTTTGCTTGCAAATAAATTCCATAAAAAGAGAAAAAATATTTTTAGGTTCAAAAAAAGTTTACATTTTATATCACGCGTCATTAAAATATTCAAAAAAAAATAAAAAATGTATAAAGACTAAAAGTTGGAAAATAAAAAGTAAAAAAAGTTAACAGTTTTTATTTCAAAAATAAATTTTTAAAAATTAATTGGAATTTTTTAAAAAAGAAAAAAATGTTTGGAATAGAAAATTTTGATGAAATAACATTAAAAAATCAAAAAAATTAAAGAAATGGAAGAAAAGCTGAATTTCAAGTTAAAATAATTTTTGTGATATTTTTGGAAGAATTAAATTTTTAAAACAAAAAATCCAAGTTTATACTATTTATGGTAACAGAATTAGTTTTAGGTATGTGTGTAAAAAAGCAGTTATTTTCGTGATGAGTCTTGATCAGCATTGCCTTCTTTAATTAAACATGCTTATTGCCATCTCCCTTGTATTTAATCCTGTGATTAGGGTTGTCGATTCTTGCAAATTCTTCAGATATCCGAAACCGAACCGAAGAACTTAGGTTTGGTTCTGTCCAGAATCGACAACCCTACTTGTGAATTTATTTTTTGTGTATTCTGCTAGTCCAATGTTAAAATATAACAGAGATATATTTTACGATATTTTCAAATTTATTTGTTAATTTCAAACCAAATATTATTAATTCCTTAAAAATCCTTTTGGTTGTCAGAAAAACACTCGAAATTTTTGAATAAAAAGGATAAAAGTTATTCAAAAACTTTTTTTCTATTTGTTTAAAAGGATTGGCCAACCTTCCAATGATTCGCGGAAGTAATTTAAACAAAAAATATTTTTTAGAAGAACATTTAAACATTTTTGTATTATTTATTGTCAGATCTCCTTTCCACACCTAAAAATTTTGGAGAGGATGGATGACCGGACACAACCAACAACCACTCCCCCTTTTTGTCTCTTCAACTTAAAAATAATTACTCAAACGAACAGTAAAAATACCAACAAATATTTGATAAAAGGAAATAAATTAAAATTATTTAAAAAATAAAAAATAATAGGAAGGCACAGTAAAAGTGTTGTGATCAGTGCTGGGTATTTGGCATTTGTTGGCTCCGGCTCTTGGCATTTCAAATTCTTGGCTCTAGAGCTAGCTCCCGGAGCCACACAAGTGTTGTGATCAGTTGTTGGTGATAAAAATGAGAATTTGATTGAATAAAAATTAAATTTAAATATTAAATGTTAAATCAAAAAATAAAAACAAAATAAATATACCGTATTTGCTCTATTAATCCCCCAGTCCTTTATTAATCCCCCAGGCTCTATTAATCCCCCACCCTAGAGATGGGTTGAAACAATAATCCCCCTGGGGGATTACTAGAGCAAATACGGTAATACAAAAATACATATATATTTTTTATTCATTTTGTCTTTAATTGTGTTTTAATAGAGGAGAAAAAATAATGAGGAAAAATAAATAAAATTAAATAAAAAAATAAAGAATAAAATGCAGATGGAAGGTAAAAACTATTTTTTATTTTTAACTGTCTCAATAACAAAAAAGGACATCTGTGCTAGAATTTATTTGAAATTAAAAAAATAAAAGAAAATTTGTTTATTAAAAAAAGAGTAAAGATTTATTAAAGTTATTAAAAAAGGAAATCAACAAAATAATTTTTTAAATAATTAATTTAAGGAAAAATTAAAAATTGTGAAGATGCATAAATTTAAAATTATTTTTTTTTAATTTTTAGACAAAAAATAAATTGTTTATTTTAAAAATAAATTTCTTAAAATTCAATTTGTTTTTAAAATTAATTTAAAATATTTAAAAATTTCTTTAAAATTGTCTCTCATTTAGGCAAAAAATATTTAAATATACAAAAGACAATAAAAATGGCAGAAGAAATATTTGAGTGGGAATGATGATTTCTTTCTTATTGTTATCAACAATTTTTGTTGGGAATGTGAAGAAATTTTTTTAAATTACGTGGGCATTTGAGGGAAAAATTTAAAAAGAAATGAAAGAAATTTTGCAAAAATAAATTTATTTAAAAGGGGCACTTTAAATTTAAAAGTGATTGGAAGCTTCTTTCGCGCATTTTTAAAAAGTAAAAATAAAACTTTAAAAGAAATTTGGTGGAAATTGAATAAATAAATTTGTTTAAAAAGTTTTTGAAAAGGAAATGCTGAAAAAAACTCTTGAAGAATCCCCCCCCCCCTTCTCCACTTTTCAATTAATTCAAAAAATTTAAATGTGAGAATAAAAAAAGAGAGGAAAAACTATTCCCTTACTTTAAATTTTTTTTAAAAATAATAAAAATAATGTTGTCACCCTTGGAGATGAAAAAAATATATCCAAATATAAGTGGGAAAATCGGGCGATACAATTTAGTAGTAGAAAAAAATATTTTTTTAATTAATTAAAAATAGTTTAAAATTTAAATTGAGGTAACAATTAAGCAAAAATGAAATAAAAAGAAAAAAATAGAAGCTTAGAATTTTGCTTAAAATAATTTAAAGCAAGTCTTGCTTGAGTGTTTTTAGAGAAAAAATTTTTCTTAATTTCTTCAAGTAATTTTGGTATTTGACCGGAACTCTAAATATTATTAATTAATTTTAATTGCCCCATAAATTTATCAAAATACATCTTTATTTAAAAAGCTAAAAATTTCTGACCTCATGAAGGGAAAAATAAAATAAAAATGTAAACTAAGCAAATGACACCCAACTTCCTATTCCCCCTCCCTCCTCCCCTTCCAGCAATCCCCCCACTATACAATTTTTCTTTCTTTGGAAAAATATTTTCTGCTGTGAGGGGGATAAATATATATATATATAGAGCTTTCGCGCCAAAGGCAAAGTGCCAAAAGAGGATTGCGTGATGCCCTCAGAAAAAAGTGAGGGGAAATTAATTGTTTTGATGCCACAATGCTTTAAATATATTTATTTAATGCTTGGGTCACGATTAAAATATATTTATAATGGAGAGAGAAGAAAGAGAAGAATGCCAACAAAATGGCGAGAATTTAGCTAGAAAGAAAGAAAAAAATTGTTTATTAAATTAATATAACAAAAAATCCAAAACAAATTGGGAATAATATAGAAGGTAGGGGAAAGGAATAAAAATAATCGAGAATATTCAAATAAATAATTAAACTAAATTTTGTAGAATTAATGGAGAAAGAGTTTGCAAAAGTTTAGCCACCGGGCAGGATTGAACCTGCGACCTTCTGTCAGTTATTGCTAGGCGCATTCGCTCACCATACACAGGAGCTCTACCACTGAGCTACCCACTAAGCTACCTTATCCTTTTAGATCATTACACCCCCGCCCAAGCGTTTTAAATGCTCTAAGTGAATCATCCTAACTATAAAATCAACAGCTTTGTAACCATCCAATACCCACCAATCACAAGCTATATTCTGAAGTCCGTTGCTTAATAAAAATTCTACAAAGGGGCACTTAAATTGAGGTCAAAACAATTTTTCTGATTTTATAAAAATTCGGACTTTTATATATACTAAATTTACTATAATTTAAAATAAAAGAGAAATAAAGTAAAAATACAAAACAGGAGGAATTTACTGCTATTTATTTTTAGTTTTACCCCAATTTAAAAACAATTTTTTTATTTATTTAAAGTCAAGGCCAATTTGCAGCCTGCCAATTTGATGCGCCAATTTGTTGAGGATTTTCTGTGGTTTTGGAGATTTAATTTTGTGAGGAGAGGAGGGGGAGGAAATGAAATGAGGAGGGGAAGATTACTAGATTTGTATAGGAACTGGCGACAGCTGCCTTTCTTTTTTCTTTTGTTTTTACTTTTTCTTAAAAAATGATGAACAAATTAAAGAAACGGTAAAAGAAAAAGAAATTTTTATAATTATTTTTTAAAATAATTATCTGTAAGTAGGAATTGCCATACTCGACTCGGGCGGAGAATTAAATAATTTTCTTGCGGGCCTATTTTCGAAGCATTTAGGAATTCTTCGGGTTTAATTACAGGGTGACCCAAAAGTTACCGGGCAGTTTTCATTTGATCATAACTTTTTATATATTTTTTAATATTATTATACTCATTTTGTTGCCCATTCAATTCTCATTCATGGCCTAAATCGAATCAGGCAATATAGACTAATTGTGAGAATTTTGAATATTTAAATATTGTAAAGAGTAAATATTTAAACATTCTGGCTAATTGAGATAATTTTAAGATTAAGAAACTTTGTGATCTGACCATTCTGGATATCAAACTATTCAATAGAGAACAGTCTGTATTTATTGTCTGATATAATATCGGATTTTTATATCTGGATACAGTATGTTTCAAAAATGTTTTTTTTACAATTTTGTTTACAAGATAAACTCACAATCAGAATAGCTTTTAAAATAAAAAAATAAATTAATTAAAAAATTAACACAAAGTTCTTTAAATGTAAAGGGTAAAGGTTGCATTTTTCTAACGTTAAAAGTTGGAAATAACAAAAAATACAATAACAATTTTATTCAAAAAAAGGGTTTGGCTTTTTATTCTTTTTAAAAAAGTGCAAAGCTTCTGAATAGATTTTTTTACTTAAATGGAAAGAAGATATCTATATATTTATTTCTAACAATTTTTAAATAAAACCATTCATCATCTTTTTTCTTTGGCGGACGAACAAATGTTCGCGCGCATAAACAAGGAGAGAAAAGAAGGTTATTTATTTATTGTGGGCGGTATAAAATAAATAAAAATTGTTTTTAATTTTTACCGCTTTTTCACCACCTTTTATGCTTGATGATTGAATAAAAAAATAAAGAGAATGTTTAAAAGGAAAGGATTATTCTGATTTGGATTAAATTTGGTAGTATATTACATATACTCTCTTATTAACAGAAAAAAGAGATTTTAAAATTCATTTATCGGTCTCTCTTTAATTTTGAAAGTGGTTATTCAATAAAAAAAGGGGGATAATGAAATTTAAAATAAAAATTAGGAGGAAAATTATTTTTTAATTAAAAATATTAATTAAGAAAGATATATTTTGAATTCAAAACAAACCAATTTATTTTTTTAACTTGTCCAAACTTTGAGATAAAGAAGCTATTTCGGGATAAATATGTATATTTGGACAGATAATGATTCATCAATTGAGAGTTACGAAATTAGATTAATATTGAATAATTTATTTCTCAATTATTTTAACTAATAAATTACGTTTACAATTTCAAAAATTAATTTAAATAAAAATCTATTCACATATTCTAATCACAAATTTATATTAATTAATTAAAATTTTATTATAATAAAAAATGATATTAATAAAAAATGAATAAAAAATATTAAAATAAATTGAAGGTCAAAATTAGAATAATTTAGTGGTTCTAAACAGATTTAATAATAAAGAATAAATGATATATTCTCTCAAAAATAAAGAGGTCTTCAATGTCTGAAAGAATTTGAAAAGCAAAAATACTAGGTCTACATAATCTTTTTTTGATGAGAATTTTTAAAGGAGAATGAGGGAAATAAAGAAATAAATAAATCCAATTTTCATTTAATTTTTTAGTTAATAGAAAAAATACCCAGAAGGGATAAGCCTAAATCTTTGGGGGAAAGAATGGGAGAATGAATGTTCATTTTTAGAAAAAGAAAAAGATTTATTTAAAAAAAAAACAAAAGAAAACTTTGAAGAATTTAAATAACTTTTTCTTTTAAATTAAAAGACAGGCAAATATTTAAGAATTAAAAATTAGTTGTTAATGAATGACCTCTTAATGAGAAAAAAATGCGGGAATAAATCTGTTGCGCGGACAAAAAAGTTAAGGGTAATTAAAGTAGTAATTGTTTTAAAAAAAGTTTTTTTAAAAGTTTGAGTTGAAAATATATTTAATTAAATTATTTTTAGGAAAATAAATATTTCATTTTAAGGTATTTTTAAAATAATTGTTGGAAAAACATAAATAAAATACCCACCATTTTTATTTAAAAAAGAGACAATAATGGAAGATTAAATGTCTATTCTAAAACATAATTTTTTGATTTAAAACCATTCACTACCTTTTAGGTTTGATTTACTGTAGGGAAAAGGTTCCAAGGAATTAAAAAAATATTCTTTTGATAAAGGCATTTACTTAAATAATCTAACAAAATAAAAAGTGTGCCCTTATTTTATTCTTTAAACTTCCCCTCTTTCCTCCTTCTTTGTTTAAACTTAAAAAAGAACAAATAAATATATGTAATGGCCGTTATTGACAATATATAGGGGGCAATAAATCACAGCTTGTAAAGATTAAATAACTTTAAAAATACAAGTTTAGGGTAACTAAATGATCATTGGAAATGAAAAAAAGAAGAAGGAAAGGAGAGGGGAAAGAGCCACTGACAACTAATTCTTTTTAAAAATATTTTTTAGGTGGACATTTGTTGTCTTCATCAATCATCTGTTTTTGTCCGGCAATTTTGTTTGGAAGAAAAAAAGAGAACAAAGTTGAGATTTAATGCTTAAAGTAAATGCTATTGTGTTTTTAAAAAATTTAAAAATAATAATTTGAATATGTTGTTGTTATGGTTGCCGGATTTTTTTGATGGTTAACTGAATATTTTAAAAGGTAAAAGTTCAGTTCAGATCGTTCAAAATTTTATATCAACTTTATCTCAACTTGTCAGAAAAACTAACTTCTCAAATCAAAATATTTGGGACACGTCTAAGTAGGCACGCGGCCATAATGGCGCAAAACCAGCTGGAAAATTTCTGGCATTTATCAATTTAGGTACCAATCTCTTTAGCTCGATTAGTGGAATCATTTAATACTAAAATTGGTAGGATTCGGAAATCTTAAAGCAAATTATGTATAACGGTTTACCCGGGTAGATCGAATTTATGAGGGATATGAATATAGAAAACAGGATCCAGATTGAATATTCTAACAAAAGTTTCCTCATAAAAACAAGATATAAATTCTTCTATAAAAGCATCTCCTTCTTACTTCATCGTTAACTTCCATCATCAACATAAATACTCCAAACCGACTGCCGCCAATGATGATCGTCAACACCAACAACAAAAAGGCAATGTTCATTGTGACGCTCTCCATTGTTGTTCTGCTGCTTCTGATTGAACATGTCAACAGCAAAGAAATGAGCATCAACGTCGACCTAAAGGATGAAGTTAGCAAGGATAAAACGCCGCAGAAGGAGGAGGAAAAGGTAAAGAAGTTTAAATTCTTCTCCAAATACAAACATCTTTTTTTAGTTGGAGAACAAAGCCCCTGCCCCAGTGGATCATAACTATCAAGCTGAGACTGTTAAGACGGAGGATAAGGGATCCAACGCCTTACTAGCAGTGGCTGTCGGCGATCTTATCATTTCTCTGCTTTGTTCGTGCTGCTGTTGTGTTTTGTTGGCGGTTCTGCTCTATTTCCTTCTCTTCAAGCGCAAGCAACCACCACCACCACCACCACCACCATATAGGGAATGAACGGAACAAATGGAAGTGCCAAACCAAAGAATCTGTGACAGAAGTATGTATAGAAGTGGATAATAAATAAATAAATATTGTGTTTATCTGTATTCATTGTGCTTGTTGTATTGTTTACCTAAATATATGTATATTGCTTTGTGTTTTTGCTTTATATAAAAAAGATTTTCTCATAATGTTTTTTTACTTTATATAAATTTGTATAATTGCTTTTTGTACCAAAAATTATTTTAACTTGCAAATATTTTAATACGTTTTTACAAGAATTACTTTTAGATAGAGAAGGGTTATAAGTTGGTATTTTGTAGTGATCGAGGGATAAAGAAGATATCGTTCGATTTGGAGGGATATAAGGGGATTCTAAGCGATTAATGTGAGTATCAGTTTATCGTGGGATACAATCCCTCCTAATCTTTCGGTCTCGACTCTCAGCTTTTTTCACTACCGAACATCCCTAGTATTTTGTATGTTAATTGGACAAATTGAATTCTTATTTTAATTTTGGTTGTTTTTTTCTCAAATACAATATATCTTCCTGAAAATTTTGAATGAAAAATTTAAAAAAAATTAATTAAAAAATTAATTTTTCTATTTTTAAAGTTTGCAAAAAAAGCAAAAGTCAGCATACCTTTTTTAGTAAAAAAATATTTTTAGTTTCCCATTTATTTACTAATTTGCAAAATTTGTTTTTAATTTTACCAAAAAATTGTTTCTTTTATAGAAAATAAAAATATTTTATTAGAAAATATGTGTCAGTTTAGATTTACGGAAATTTAAGGAAAAAAATATTTTTAGACTTTTTTTTATTTATTTAAATTCTTCCTATTTTTAAAGCCTTTATCCTCTTTCCTTTTTATCCCTAAAAATATGTTTTTAATTGTTTAAACATTTTTGGGTAATAAAAACCTAAAAATATATAAAGATTTATTTGTTACTTTTTATTCTTAGAATTTTTGGAACAAAAAATTTTTTGGGGTTTTATATTTAAAAATTAAATCCAGATGAGGGTATTTTATTGTTGGAGACAAAAAGGAGGAAGATCTTTTTAAAGAAACAATTGAATGTATCTATACATATTTAAATTAGGTACATATTTGTCTCATTTTTGTTCTTTTTTCTTCCAATTTTTCCGTATTTTTTTATAAAATTAAAAAGAATAATTTTCCTTTCCTCCCAACCAAAATCCCCTCTAGACTTCAAAAAAATTATTAATTAATTTAATATTCTGATAAATTAAAACTTAAAATTTATTTCTTAAATAAATTTTATTTAAATTAAATATTTTAAAGTTTAATTTTCCGCTTGTTGAGGGCTTTCGAAAGATATAAAATTCATTTGTATTGGATCAAGCATTAAAAAGTTAAAGCCGAGCAAAGTTGGCTGGCACTCAGTTTGCGGTCGTATAACGGAAAAGTACCTTTAAAATTTATTTTTTAAATAAATTTTATTTTAATTTAATTTATAATGTTATTAAATAAATATTATAAATTTATATTTTCTAAAAATTTAAATTATTTCCTTCCCCTATTAAATAATTTCCTTCTTCCAATTTTTTAAAAAGTTTAAAAAAACTAATAATTTTTTAAAAACTTTTCCCATTAAATAATTATTTTTCTTCCCTTTTTTAACTGTCTTCTTTTTAAAAACGAACTCTTTTTTTAAACAATTTATTAAAAGTTTTTTGCTTGCAAATTTATTTTAAGGGATTAAAGAATTGTTAAAAAATATTTAAAGGTTTTGAGTACTTCACTTCCCCCCCCCCTTTTTTCTCCAAAAAATCTATAAAAATTATTTATTTTATTTTAATGGCCACTTTAATGACTGAAATGATGAAAAAAAGGCAAATTTAAAAAAAGGGTCCAAATCCATATCTTTTTTGGGGAGTTTTTTGTATTTTCTATTTATTTTTATTTAAAAAGAATTTTTCTGTTTTGGTTAAATAATTATTTAAAATTTTTTTAAAACTATTCTTTAATTGGATATTTGGGGTATTTATAATTAGAGAGGCGCTGAAATTGATGTTTAAATAAGAGATTATATAATTTATTTATTATCTCCTCATGTCAATCCAATTAAAAAAAATATACCTAGAGGTAGTATCCTGCCGTTACAATTCCCGAAAAGGTTTATTTTTAAATTCTAAATGTTCTTTAAAATTTTTTATAAAATTAAAGTCTGCCAATAATATATACATCAAAACAAAATACATAATTAAATATTAACTTTCCAATTTAAAGTTTTTTTGGAAATAATAATATTTTTTAATATATACTTAAAAATATGCGTTTTTATTATGACTTTTAAGATACCTAACCCCTCCTCCTACTCTATATTTTTCCATTTTATCGTTTTCTATTACTACATTTTTATTTTTTTTAACCATTTAATTAATAAAAAAAATTTAAAAAAAGTTGCAAAATATACTGGGTAAAATAAATATACCTAAATAAAAAAATTAAATATTTTCTTCAGATTGATTAATTAAAATAATTATTTTAAAATAAAAGAAAATCTTTTTTTGTTTCAGGCAATTCTTAAATTAATAAATTTAATTTTTAATTTATTCAATATATTTAATCTTTTTTAATCTTTAATTATTTATTTAAAATGTCTACAAGTTTTGTAACTTTTCCTTTTTCTTTCATTTTTTTTTAAATTTTTTGACTTCCTTATTTCCATAAATAGTAGATATATTTAAGAGAAATTTAAAGCTTAATTTTTAGGAAATTAAATAAAACAATCTTTTTCTTTGTATTTAATAAATTAAAGGAAGTGTTTCCAGATGAGTTTCAATCTTAAACCTTCGGCCTTCGACCCTTTTGTTCCCTATTCTTTTTATTTTATTATTTTTAAATTTTATTTTAAAATATTTTTGTTTTATTATTTAATATACCTACATTATTTAAGAATTTTTTAAAAATTTGGTTATTTTTCAAGAGTGATTTAACACTACATTTAAATTAAAATTTCTTCCAATTTTTCATGTTGAGTTTTGTGTATTGGTATGTAGTAGCAAGGATAAAACGCCGCAGAAGGAGGAGGAAAAGGTAAAGAAGTTTAAATTCTTCTCCAAATACAAACATCTTTTTTTAGTTGGAGAACAAAGCCCCTGCCCCAGTGGATCATAACTATCAAGCTGAGCCTGTTAAGCCGGATGATAAGGGATCCAACGCCTTACTAGCAGTGGCTGTCGGCGATCTTATCATTTCTCTGCTTTGTTCGTGCTGCTGTTGTGTTTTGTTGGCGGTTCTGCTCTATTTCCTTCTCTTCAGGCGCAAGCAACCACCACCACCACCACCACCACCATATAGGGAATGAACGGAACAAATGGAAGTGCCAAACCAAAGAATCTGTGACAGAAGTATGTATAGAAGTGGATAATAAATAAATAAATATTGTGTTTTTCTGTATTCATTGTGCTTGTTGTATTGTTTACCTAAATATATGTATCGTTTTGTGTTTTTGCTTGATATAAAAACAAATTTTCTCATAATGTTTTTTACTTATATGAGGTTGTATAATTGCTTACCAAAAATTATTTTAACTTGCAAATATTTTAAAAAATTTCTGAGAATTATTTTTAGCTAGAGAAGGGTTATAAGTTGGTATTTTGTAGTGATTGAGTGATAAAGAAGATATCGTTCGATTTGGAGGGATATAGAGAGATATAAGGGGATTCTAAGCGATTAATGTGAGTAACAATATATCGAGGGATATAATCCCTCCTAATTTCTCAGTCTCAACTCTCGGCTTTTTTCACTCCCGAACATCACTAGTATTTTGTATGTTAATTGGACAAATTGAATTTTTATTTTAATTTTGGTTGTTTTCCTCATATATATTTTCATTAAAAATTTTGTGTGAATAAACAAAAAAAAATAAATTAATTTAAAAATTAATTTTTCTATTTTTAAAGTTTGCAAAAAAAAAGCAAAAGTCAGCATACCTTTTTTAGTAAAAAAATATTTTTAATTTCCCATTCATTTACTAATTTGCAAAATTTGTTTTTAATTTTACCAAAAAATTGTTTCTTTTATAGAAAATAAAAATATTTTATTAGAAAATATGTGTCAATTTAGATTTTTCCGGAAATTTAAATGAAAAAATATTTTTAGACTTTTTTTTATTTATTTAAATTCTTCCTATTTTTAAAGCCTTTATCCTCTTCCGTTTTATCACACCAAGAATATGTTTTTAATTGTTTAAACATTTTTGGGTAATAAAAACCTAAAAATATATAAAGATTTATTTGTTACTTTTTATTCTTAGAATTTTTGGAACAAAAAATTTTTTGGGGTTTTATATTTAAAAATTAAATCCAGATGAGGGTATTTTATTGTTGGAGACAAAAAAGGGGGGAGGAGGAGGGAAAGATCTTTTTATTTAAAGAAACAATTGAATGTATATCTAAATACATATTTGTCTCATTTTTGTTTCTTCTTGCTTCCAATTTTTCACTACTTTTTATTAAATTAAAAAATAATAATTTTCCTTTCCTTCTAAATCCAAAATTCCCTCTAGACTTCAAAAAATATTAATTAATTTAATATTCTAATAAATTAAAACTTGGAATTTATTTTTTAAATAAATTTTATTTAAATTTAATTTATAATGTTATTAAATAAATAAATATATTTTAAATTTTAATTTTCTAAAAATTTATCTAAATTATTTCTTTCCCCTATTAAATAATTTCCTTCTTCCAATTTTTTAAAATGTTTAAAAAAACTAATAATTTAAAAAAAAAACTTTTCCCATTAAATAATTATTTTTCTTCCCTTTTTTTAACTGTCTTCTTTTTAAAAACGAACTCTTTTTTAAACAATTTATTAAAAGTTTTTTTGCTTGCAAATTTATTTTAAGGGATTAAAGAATTGTTAAAAAATATTTAAAGGTTTTGAGTACTTCACTTCCCCCCCCCCCTTTTTTCTCCAAAAAATCTATAAAAATTATTTATTTTATTTTAATGGCCACTTTAATGACTGAAATGATGAAAAAAA